CATATGTTTTTTTCCCAACACCCCCCAAACTGTTTGGAACTAACCAATGGTCTTGATGTTTTAAAAGAATAGATGTGCGGAGGGTGGATTTTTTCTGCGGTAAAGGGCCCCCCAAAAACCCCTTTTTGGGGAAAACCCTGCCCCCCTTGGGGGGAAAAACCCTGAAAAGGGGCACCCTTGCATTACTCGAAACCCAATCAAACCCAGAGCTTTAAAAAAACTTATCCTCCCTTGCCCTTTGGTTTTTTCCCCCCGGTCAACTCTGTCCCCCCCTGTTTCCAACAGGGCGGGGGGTTACACATCCGGTGATGATGTGAATATTTCTTTTCCAGTGTTCGGGGGGGCCAAAGTACCACGCGGGGTTTGACAAAAGGGGAAAATTTTGACAGCATCCTGCGGGGGAGGCTACGCCCAAAGACTGTTCCCCTAAGCCAGACTGAACTACCAGATCACCCCCACCAACACCCCTTGCTACGACCGCAAGGGGTTAGTAAAGAAGGCCCGCATCATAAACAAAAACACATGGAAAGGGCCCACACACACACAAACCCCAACCACACACACACCAAAACAAACGGGGTTGCGTACCCCAAACCACACATAAAAATAAACCCCATTGACGGGAGCCCCTTCCTGAGGTAAAGCATGCTCTGGGGGGGGGGCCCACAAAATTCGGGGACAATTTCCCCCAAATGATTCAAGACTCAAGACCTTCATCTCCAAAAACCCAAGATCAAAAAACCCACACACATATTTACTCCTATGTCATGTTTTTCTAGTGATCCCCCTTTTTTCCTGTTTTAACCCAAAAAGGGATAAAGGGTTTGGTTTTAAAAGGGCCCCAGCGCATGCTTTCCATATTTTCTCAGTTTTGGGTTTTGGCTTTTTGGTATTGGTTTGGCCGTTGGTAGGTAAAAAGGGCCAGTTTGGTGGTTGAGGGCCTGGCCCAAGGGAGCCTGGGGGTTTTAAAAATTGGGAGGAAAGGAAAAGAGGGGGAAATTAAGGGGCAAAAACAGAGAGAAAAGAGAAGAAAAAAAGGGGGGGAAAGGGAAGAGAAAAAGGGGGAGAAGAGAGGGAAAAGGAGGGGGAGAGAGAGGGGGAAAAAAGAGAGAGAACAGGAGGAGAGAGGGAAGAGAGAAAAGAGGGGGGAAATAGAGAGGGGAGAAGGAGGAGGGAGAAAGGGGGAGGGGAGAGAGGGAGAGAGAGGGAAAAGAAGGAGAGAGAAAAATTAAAAGGAGAGGGGAAAAGGAGAGAGGGGAAAAGGAAAAGGGGAGAGAGGAGAGAGAAAAGAGGAGAAAAAGGGGGGAAGGACGAAAAGAGGAAAAAAGAAAAAAAAGAGAAAACCAAGGAGGGGGGAAAAGCCAAAGAGAGGGGGGAGAAAAGAGAGGAATGAGAAAAGAGAGGAAGAGAGGGGGAGGGGGAAATGAGGAGAGAGGGGAAAGGGGAGGGGAAAAAAGAAAAAGAGGAAAGAGGGGAGGGGGAAGGAGAAAAGGAGAAAAGTGGGGGAAAGGAGAAAAGGAAAAGAGGGGAGGAGGATGGGGGAAAGGGGAAGGGGGGGGGAAGAGAGGGGGGAAGAGGGAAAAGGGGGAAGAGAGAAAAGAGGGAAAGAGGGGAAAGGAGAAGGGGAAGAGAGGGGGGAAAGGGGAGAAAAGGGGGAAAGGGGGGGGGATAGAGAGGGGAAGAGAGGAGAGGGAGGGGGAAAGGGGAGGGGGAGGAAAAGGGAGGGGATAGGACCGGGAACAGAGAGGGGGGATAGAAAGAGAAAAACAAAAAGGGGAAGAGAAAAAATGGCCCGAAGGAAAAGGAAAAGAGAGGAAGAGGGGGAGGAGGATAGAGAGAAAGTTTGAGGACAGAGGGGGGGAGGGGTTTAGAGAGAAAGAGGGACAGAGAGGGGGGGATAGAGAGAAAGCCCGGGGCCCAAAAAGGGGGGAAGGAGGGAAAGGGGAAGGAGGGAGGCTGAGGGGAAAAACAAAGGACAGAGGGAGGGGATAGAGAGAGAAGAATGGACAGGGAGAAGGGGTTTAGAGAAAAGGAGGGGAGGCCCGAGAGGGGAGGTTTTGAAGAAGACAAGGACGAGGGACAAGAGGGGAGGATGAGGGAAGGGGGAAGAGAGAAGGAGAGGAAAACGGGGGAAAGGTTAGAGAGAAAGGCGAGGACAGAGAGGGGGGGATAGAGGGGGAAAAAAGAGGAAGAGAGGGGGGGATAGAAAAAAAAAGGGGGGACAGAGGGGAAAGGGGGGAATAGAGAGGAAGACGAGGACAAAAAGGGAGGGGTAGAGAGACAAGAGGGGACAGAGGAGGGGGAGGTTTGAAGAAAAGACGGGACAGAGGGAGGAGGATAAGGAGGAGGAAAAATGGGGGGAAGAGAAAAGACGAGGACAGAGAGGAGGAGGATAGAGAGAAAGAGGGGACAGAGAGGAGGGGATAGGGGAGAAAGACGGGACAGAGAGGGGGGGAAAATTAAAAGAGGGAAAGAGGGGGAGGTTTAGGAAAAAGAGGGAAAAAGGGGAAAGGGGGAAGATGAAAGACGGGGAAACAGAGGGGAGGAAAAAGAGAAAGACGAGGACAGAGGGGGGAGGATAGAAAAGAGAAGACGAGGAAAGGAGGGGGAGGATAGAGAGGGGAAAAAAGAAGGACAGAAGGAGGATGGAGAGACAAAATGAGGCCCAGAGAGGGGGAGGTTTAGAGAGAAAAGGGACGGGGACAGAGGGGGGGGATAGAGAGAAAAGACGGGGACAGGAGGGGGGGGGTTTTAGAGAAGAAGCCCGAGGGAAGAGAGGAGGGGGATAGGAGACAAGAGGACGGACAAGGAAAGGAGGGGAAAAAGGGGAGGGGGAAGAAGAGGTGGGAACAGAAAAGGGGAGGTTTAGGAGGGGAAAAGACGGGACAGAAAGGGGGAGGATGAAAAAGAAAGAAGGAGGAAAAAGAGAGGGAAAAAAGGAAAAAATAAAGAAAAGACAAGGGACAATGGGGGAGGATAGAGAGAAAAGAAAAGGGCCCAAAAGGGGGAGGTTTAGAGAGAGAAAAAGAGGAAAGAGGAGGGGATAGAGAGAGAAGAAAAGGACAGAGGGGGGGGAAATTTTTTTAAAGGGGAAAGAATTTTGAGGCAGAGAAAGGGGAGGAAAAAGAGAGAAGACGAGGAAAGGGGAGGGGGATAGGAACAAGACGGGGACAGAAAAGGAAAGGGAGGATAGAGAGAAAAAAAAAGGACAGAGAGGGGAGGTAGAGAGAAAGAGGGGGACAGGGGGGAAGGGGAGGCGAGGAAGAGAAAAGGGGGACCGAGGGACAGAGGGGGGGGAGGATAGAGAGAAGAAAAGGGACAGAGAGGAGGAGGTAGAGAGAGAAGACGGGGAAAGGGGAAGAGGGGGAGGATAGGAAAAAGGGGAAAAAACCAAAAAAAGGACAAGAGGAGGAGGATAGAGAGGACAAAACAAGGAAAGAGGGGGAGGATAGAGAAAAAAAAGAGGGGAAAGAGGGGAAGGGGGATAGGGGAGGAAGCAAGGAAGAGGGGGGGGATAGAGAGAGAAGGAAAGAGGGAGGAGGATAGAGAGAAAGGGACGAGGACAGAGGGGGGAGGAAGAAAAGGGGAAGCCCGGGGACAGAAAAGGGAGGATAGAGGGGAGAAGACGGGGAAAACAGAGAGGGGGGGGGGATAGAGAAAAGACGAGGACAGAGGGGGGGAGGTAAGGGGAAAAAAGGGGGAAAAGAGAGGAGGGGGATAGAGAGACCGGGCCAGAGGGGGGAGGATAAAAGGGGAGAAGAGGGAGGACAGAGAGGGGGGAGGAAGAGAGAAAGAGGGGAAACAGAGGGGAAGGAGGATAGAGAGACGAGGACAGAGAGGAGGAGGATAGACAGAGAAGACAAGGACAGAGAGGAGCAGGATAGAGAGAGAAGACGAGGACAGAGAGGAGGGATATGATTAGAGGAGACCAAGACGTGGACAGAGAGGAGGAGGATAAGAGGAGGTCTGTTGTCTGTCATTGGGAAACGCAGGGGGTTAACATTTCATTTATTAGCTTTGACCAGTTGTCAGCCGACGCAGAGCGTTTTGGCTGCTGACACGTGTAAGTTGATGTTATAATTGAAGGCATGGGAATAGGCATATCTGTCAGGTGGAAAGCACTCTGCGTTATTATGTGTGAGTGAGTGTGTGTGTGTCTCACAGATGAGTCGCACACAGTGAAGTCAACTTGTTAACAGTTCACTGTAAAGGCAGTTTTTTCCTATTTTTCATACATTCACTATCATTTGTATTCTTGCTAAACTAGCGTCTCCATCTCTCCATCACAGCTCTTATCCCTACAAACAGTATCTCTCCACCTGCACGTTATGTTGATGTGTTCTGCAGCCTCATCCCATTTCACTGTGTCGCCTCATCTGTCAGACACACACACGCACCCTTTTTGATTCAGCCCTGTTCTTATCAGCCTGAAGTCTACCTTATCAAATATTAAGCAGCACATTAGGACTGCAACAGATCCCTCTATGCTTTTTTTCACACACACACACACACACACACACACACACACACGCGCGCACATGCTTGTACACACTCACATAGACAAGCTTTGTCCTGGGGACGGCAATGATTGTGACATTTCTCATTCAGTTCAAATGTGGTCCTCTGTAGCTCAGCTGGTAGAGCACGGCGCTTGTAACGCCAAGGTAGTGGGTTCGATCCCCGGGACCACCCATACACAAAAAAAAAAATGTATGCACGCATGACTGTAAGTCGCTTTGGATAAAAGCGTCTGCTAAATGGCATATTATTATTATTATGGACAGTAGCCTATTGATTGTGACCTTCCATGACCTCAGACCTCTCCTGTCCTCCGTAGGTAAAATTTGGAACATAGAGAACCTGACCTCTGACATCTTCCCTGTCCTCCATAGGTAACATCAGGAACACAGAGAACCTGACCTCTGACCTCTCCTGTCCTCTGTAGGTAACATCAGGAACACTGAAAATCTGACCTCTGACCTCTCCTGTCCTCCGTAGGTAACATCAGGAACACAGAGAAGCTGAGCTTTGATAAGCAGCAACAGTATGAGGTCCTGGTCAAAGCCTTCGACTGCGGACAGAAGAGATCCACAGAGAGCGTGGCGGTACACATCGACGTCAAACCTGTCTGCAAACCTGGCTGGCAAGGTGATTAGTACTAGGAGGGCTGAACCGTGGGAGGTGTACATAGGGTCTGTCTCTGTGTCTTTCTGTGTCTCGATGAATGCCTTTGATTCAGTTTGCACCTCTTAAAATCTGCCAGCGACGATCAGTATCACTGTCTTTTGAAGTATATTTCTGTGGGTGGGGTTGTGATGGGTATAGGACTCTCGCTCTCTCTATCTATGAGAGAGAGAGAGATATCTAGTCTCTACTCGCTCCTCGAGAGCTCTCAGAGAGCTCTCGCTCTGAGCTATAGATCGCTCGATCTCGGCGATAATCTGTATCTATCTCTCTCTACTCCTCTCTCTTCTCTCTGTCTCTCGCTGTCTGCTCTCGGCTATTTCGTCTGCTCTCGATCTCTCTCTCTATCTCTCTCTCGCTCTCTCGCTCTCTCGACTCTCTCTCTCTCTCTTCTCTCTCTCTCTCTATCTCTCTCTCTCTCTCTCTCTCTCTCTCTCTCTCTCTGTCTCTCTCTCACTCCTTTGGGAAAGGCCTGTCAAATAGCTGCTGTAATCAACACAGCTGACACAGCTCTTAACACCTGCTCAGGAATATCACAATACAGGCTACAGAAATACAACAACAAGTGTTCACAGCATTCATTCAAGTATAAACAGGATTCCCAACTTCTAAGAACTTACAGAAATAGACACACACACACACTCAGACACACACACACACACACACACACACACACACACACACAAACAGAGAGAGCACATAGAGCACGGAGGCCAGGAGTCATGTTATGCAGGGTGACATTAGCCGCTCTCCCACGGCTCACAGCTAATCCTCTCTTTGAAAACAGTTTGCTTTTTGTATTTTGCAAATTAGGATTTTAGACGTTTCACTATAGGAAGAAACTTCACCCCCTCACTCCCCTCTGTGAGAGGACTCTTATCCCTCTAGGCAGTGTCGAGAGGGTGCCGGTGATGGAAGAGGCAAGGGGGAGGAACATTTCATGGTCAGAGATTAAAGGACATGTCATACCGCCAGTCTCCTACACTCTTAGAAAAAAGGAGCTATCTAGAACCTAAAAGGGTTCTTCGGCTGTCCCCGTAAGATAACCATTTGAAGATCCCTGTTTGGTTCCAGGTAGAAATAGTTTGGGTTCCATGTAGAACCCTTTCCACAGAGGGTTCCACCCGGAAGCCAAAAATGGTTCTCCTATGGGGACAGCCAAAGAACCCTATTGGAACAATTTTTTCCAAGAGTGTACTACAACAACAATGTCATATTGCTGTAGTCCCCTTGTCAATCTGTGATGCTTATACATCTCTCCAAGGCCCTTGTTCAATCTGTCAGACACACTGACAAAAACAATAACATGTCCTTAAGAGAGGAGAAGAGAGAGAGAAAAATATTGTATTGAAGAGGGAGGAGGAGGAAGTACTGCCAGCCTAAAGCACAATCAGAAGTTCTACCTTTTTAAACATCCCCTCGTCTCCACTTTTTCTCTCCCTCTCGTTCTTCCTGGTAGATCTCTCCGTGTTGGAGAAGTAGGGCTAACACACAAACAAACACACACAAATGCACACACACAAATACACACACACACATCTCCCTCTCCAGACAACCACGTTTGTTTTCTATTACAGCTGCTGTTTTCACTTCTCACCTAGTCCCTCTCTCCATTCCTCCATCCCCCCATCTCTCTCCCTCTCTAGTCAGAGTCACAGAAACAGCAAGGCTTAACATGGGTCCTTAACATCTAGTTATCATCCATAAATAGACCATGTGACCCTGCGTGCATGTGTGTACGTCTGTATTTGTGTGTGAGAGAGAAGAGAACTTCCTGCGCAGGTGTCTGTGTGAGATAGATTACAAGCTCTTTTTTGCTGTGTGTACGCACATCTGAACGTTCACATCATTACCATGCCTGTCTGTCTGTCTGTCTGTCTGTCTGTCTGTCTGTCTGTCTGTCTGTCTGTCTGTCTGTCTGTCTGTCTGTCTGTCTGTCTGTCTGTCTGTCTGTCTGTCTTCCCAATAATGACAGATGTCCTAGTCCCTGTACACCACTGAAAGATGTCCCAGACACCACAGGCACCACTGACAGCAGATCACATTGTAGACACACACCAAAACACATCTGCATATTCAGCCAAAACCCTTGCTTAATCCTCAACCTTTGTTGTAGTGGCTGTTTGCTCTAAGCTTTGCTGCACGCTTCCCCATCAGCCATGCTTTATAAAACTGGGATTAACTTCTGATTCTGCCCTCTTCACCACAAAATTAAACCTGACCCTACAAGTGCTGCATAATAAATCAAGGCGATGAGTGGTCATATTTGTTCCCCATCTTCAAAGCTATGAAATAATGATGAGGATGTATTCAGCAATGATAATAACATGGAAGGGAAAATTAGGACAATTGTGTCCGTTGATTGCTGTTAATTGTAGGATTTCAAATGATTGCTTTAGGTGTTAAAATTGTATTTTGTCCGGAATCTCGCAAACACAGTTGTCTACTTGAGGCGAGTGCGAGCTAGGGTAGTTCGTTTCACGTCTCATGCCCTGAGAAAGTGGTGAATGTGCTGCTAAAAAGGCAAATCCCGGGGAGGCAGGAGAATATAACAAACAAACAGGCAGGCACGATTAGAACTCAGTCAGATCAAGAATGTAAGCGTTCTGAGCTTTGATCAATGCTGGGAGCAATATTTTGATATTTGATAGATTTTCTTTATTGTGTACAAAATACTGTATTTTTTAAAACTCTTTTACTATTTTCTACATTGTAGAATAATAGTGAAGATATCAAAACTATGAAATAACACATATGGAATCATGTAGTAACCAAAATAGTGTTAAACAAATCAAAATATATTTTATATTTGAGATTCTTCAAAGTCGCCACCCTATGCCTTGATGACGGCTTTACATTCTCTCAACCAGCTTCATGAGGTAGTCACCTGGAATGTTTTTCCAACAGTCTTGAAGGAGTTCCCACATATGCTGAGCACTTGTTGGCTGCTTTTCCTTCACTCTGCAGTCCAACTCAACTCAAACCATCTCAATTGTTTTGAGGTTGGGTGATTGGGGAGGCCAGGTCATCTGATGCAGCACTCCATCACTCTCCTTCTTGGTCAAATAGCCCTTACACAAAATATTATTTTCTACATTGTAGAAAAATAGTGAGGACATCAAAACTATGAAATAACACATACAGTGAGGGAAAAAAAAGTATTTAATCCCCTGCTGATTTTGTACATTTGCCCACTGACAAAGAAATGATCAGTCTATAATTTTAATGGTAGGTTTATTTGAACAGTGAGAGATAGAATAACAACAAAAAAATCTAGAAAAACGCATGTCAAAAATGTTATAAATTGATTTGCATTTTAATGAGGGAAATAAGTATTTGACCCCTCTGCAAAAACATGACTTAGCACTTGGTGGCAAAACCCTTGTTGGCAATCTCAGAGGTCAGACGTTTCTTGTAGTTGGCCACCAGGTTTGCACACATCTCAGGAGGGATTCTGTCCCACTCCTCTTTGCAGATCTTCTCCAAGTCATTAAGGTTTCGAGGCTGACGTTTGGCAACTCGAACCTTCAGCTCCCTCCACATATTTTCTATGGGATTAAGGTCTTGAGACTGGCTAGGCCATTCCAGGACCTTAATGTGCTTCTTCTTGAGCCACTCCTTTGTTGCTTTGGCCATGTGTTTTGGGTCATTGTCATGCTGGAATACCCATCCACGACCCATTTTCAATGCCCTGGCTGAGGGAAGGAGGTTCTCACCCAAGATTTGACGGTACATGGCCCCGTACATCGTCCTTTTGATGCGGTGAAGTTGTCCTGTCCCCTTAGCAGAAAAACAACCCCAAAGCATAATGTTTCCACCTCCATGTTTGACGGTGGGGATGGTGTTCTTGGGGTCATAGGCAGCATTCCTCCACCTCCAAACACAGCGAGTTGAGTTGATGCCAAAGAGCTCCATTTTGGTCTCATCTGACCACAACACTTTCACCCAGTTCTCCTCTGAATCATTCAGATGTTCATTGGAAAACTTCAGACGGGCATGTATATGTGCTTTCTTGAGCAGGGGGACCTTGCGGGCACTGCAGGATTTCAGTCCTTCACGGTGTAGTGTGTTACCAATTGTTTTCTTGGTGACCATGGTCCCAGCTGCCTTGAGATCATTGACAAGATCCTCCCGTGTAGTTCTGGGCTGATTCCTCACCGTTCTCATGATCATTGCAACTCCACGAGGTGAGATCTTGCATGGAGCCCCAGGCCGAGGGAGATTGACAGTTCTTTTGTGTTTCTTCCATTTGCGAATAATCGCACCAACTGTTGTCACCTTCTCACCAAGCTGCTTGGCGATGGTCTTGTAGCCCATTCCAGCCTTGTGTAGGTCTACAATCTTGTCCCTGACATCCTTGGAGAGCTCTTTGGTATTGGCCATGGTGGAGAGTTTGGAATCTGATTGATTGATTGCTTCTGTGGACAGGTGTCTTTTATACAGGTAACAAACTGAGATTAGGAGCACTCCCTTTAAGAGTGTGCTCCTAATCTCAGCTCGTTACCTGTATAAAAGACACCTGGGAGACAGACATCTTTCTGATTGAGAGGGGGTCAAATACTTATTTCCCTCATTAAAATGCAAATCAATTTTTAACATTTTTGACATGCGTTTTTCTTGATTTTTTCAAATAAACCTAACATTAAAATTATAGACTGATAATTTCTTTGTCAGTGGGCAAACGTACAAAAATCAAGCAGGGGATCAAATACTTTTTTCCCTCACTGTATGGAATCATGTAGTAACCAAAAAAGTGTTAAAAAAATCAAAATATATTTTATATTTGAGATTCTTCAAATAGCCACCCTTTGCCTTGATGACAGCTTTGCACACCCTCCCCAGTTAAGGTACACCAACCTCCTATGCTCCGTAGTCACCTGGTCTCAGAGGTTGACTGATTGTGAAGGATGGAGGGAGAAAGGATGGAAGAGGGGTTGACCTGGGTTCACCTCTTTCTGTCAGGGAGGTATATAATGAAGTTTAGATCAGATCCATAGGCACACACACACACACCATCAATCACATTCACATACTCACACACCTCTAAGAGTGATTACATTCTCAGAATTCCATCCCAGTCGTAGATTTGAGTTTGTTCCAAGTTAAGATTGTAGTTTCCGGTGAAGTGGTGCTCCAAGGTGAAACTGATAGAGGATAATTACCAGTGTTGGGGAGTAGTGAACTACATGTAGCTCAACTAGTAATTTAACTACATTTTGCAGTAGCTTGGTGGTAGTTGAACTAAATTCAAATCTAGATAGTGTTTTTAGTAGTTAATTACTTTTTGTTGCCATGTAGTGGTGTAGCTAAATATTGGAACTACAGAAAATGTTTTTTTGCTAAAATAAAAATGGTTGAAGTAGGCAATAATATCCTTTCTTTTTGGGCATCAGACCTGCCTAATTCACACTTGAAACATCATTTTTAGTGTTTAATAGGCTAAATTACACATTCTGTTAACCTACTGTATGACCCCAAAGTGATCTGTTCTTGTAATTTGCAGTCAAGGGAAGGTTCTGCAGCAAGACCCGATGTTGTCATAGCACAGCTCTCTACTTAAACTTTGAAGAGAGAGTTTGAACAATCAGATCTAAGCTTACCAGAACCTGGATAATACCTTTATAATGTTAAGCTCTTATGACTCGAGTGGTATCAACAAAGAAAACACAGGATGTAAAGGAATGAATCAGTGAATCAGGTGTTAATGTTTTACTGAAGAGCAGCTTATTGTCTAAAGGTTTTACTCAGTGTTTTGATGGCTAAAACATTATGTCTCGTTTTACTTTTGTCTTTAACTTTGGGTTGGTTTCTAGGGCCCAACTTTCCCATTGATAGCTTTTTGTCAAGCAACCAATGCTAAGAGCAATTCCTCCACTCAAGAACAAAAAGAGGACACTTTTTAAAAGAACATCACCAATGACACGAAAGCTTCAACATAAAGGCTTGAAGGCAGAGCGAGAGCGATGGAGGCAGAGGTATGAAGGAGAAGATGGAGAGAGAGAGAGAGTGCTCTCTAAAATAGAAAGATGGATGGTGGCTGAGTGGATGGAGGTAAAAAGGAGAGGAGAAGAGAGGAGAGACAAGGAGCTAGAGGACAGGATAAAGAGGGAGAGAGTGCTCTTTAAAATGGAAATTCTATTGGGCTGATGGAAGGACTAGGTTGAGGAGACTTACGATAATGATGGTCCCTGACATACTCAAACACACTGTCAACATTCCTACAACATTCCTACACGCACACACAAACACACACACACACTCACACACTCACACACTGACCCACACACTGACAAACACAGTCACTCTGACATTACTGGTAACACTATAACTTTAGATTTTTATCCCGGTACATGAAACCATAAGCGAAAAAGTAGTTTTTGTGTGTACTATGTCATCACGCACTGAGTTTTGTCCACAACAAATAAGTCAGTTTGGTGGAAATGCACATCTTTTCTTTATGTGGATTTTAGAACATTTGCATGAAAATCTGTAACCAATTGGATGGAAATGTAGCTACAGTGACACATAATCTGCCTCAAAAAATTTATAATTTAATCTCTTTATTTTTTCAAAATAAAATTTTTTTTTTAAAAAATTTTTTTATTTTTAATTAAGATTTTGATTTTTTCCCAAAGTACCCTCAAACTTTTTTTATTAAGATTTCAAACCCCTTTTTTAAAATTTTTTCCCCTTTTTTTTCCCCTTTTTCCCGGGGGCCCCCCCCCTTTTTTTCCCCCCTTTTTAAAATGGGGCCCCCCAAAAAGTTTTTTTTTTTAAAAAAAGGTTTTAAAAATTTTTTTTGGGGGGGGAAAAAAATTTTTTTTTTTAAAAAAGAATTTTTTTTCCTTTTTTATTTAAAACCCCCGGGGGGGGAAAAGGGTCCCCCCCCCAAAACCCCCCCCAAAAATTTTTTTCAAAACCCCCCCCCGAGCCCCCCCAAAAAACCCCCCTTTTTAATTTTTGGGGGGGACAACCCCCGGGGGGACAAAGGGGGGGGGGGGGGGCCCCCCCCCCGGGGGGGAAAACCCCCCCCCAAAAGGGCCCCCCCCCGGGAAAAAAAAGGGGGGGAAACCCCCCCCCAAAACAAAAAAAGGGGGGGCCCCCCAAAGGACCCCCCCCGGGGGGGAAACCCCCCGGGGGGCCCAAAACCCCCCCCGGGGGGGGGCCCAAAAGGGGGGGGGGAAAAAGGAGGGGCCCCCCCGGGGGGCCCCCCCCAAAAAGGGGCCCCCCAAAAAAAGAAAAAGGGGGGGTGGGGAAACCCCCCCGAAAACCCCCCCCCACGGGAACCCCCCAAAAAAAAATTTTAAGGGGGGGGGAAAATTTTTTTTTTTTTATGGGTTTTTTTTCCCCCCCAATCGTTTTTTTCCCCCTTTTTTGGGGTTTTTAAAGGGGGCCCCCCCCCCCTTTTTTTTTTTTTCCCCCCCCGTGGATTCTCCCCTTTTTTCCCTACGGGATCTCTTCCCTTTTCTTAAGTATCTTCTTTTCTCCTAAGATATCCCCTTCCTCTAATCGCCCCATTTATTCCGCTCCCCTTTCTTCTAAGTACTTCTCACTCTTTCTCTCTAAAGTATCTCTTCCCTTTCTCCACGGGACTCTTCCAAACCCGAATAGGCCTCCTCGGGCCTCAAAGAAACTCTCTCCTCTTTTCTCTCACAGTACCCTCTCCCTCTTTGAATACTTCACAAGATCCTACATTTCTCCTCTTTACTTTAAGTTTCCTCCCCACTTTTTCAAAACAGATCTCTTCTTCCTCTTTTTCTACAGTATCTCTCCATCTTATCTTAAGTAATCTCGTTCTTCTTTTCTTTTAAAGATCTCTCTCTCTCCCTTTTCTTTTACAGTATATCTTCCCTTTCTCTACAGTATCTCTCTCTCCCTTTTCTCTCTACAGTATCTCTCTCTCCCTCTTTTCTCTCTACAGTATCTCTCTCTCCCTATTTTCTCTCTACAGTATCTCACTCTCCCTCCTCTCTTTTTCTTTTCTACAATCCCTAGCCATGGGAAAAAGAGGAACTGTGGGAAACAGAGGTGTGGTGCTTTGGATAAGAATGTAGAAGTAATGCTATAGTGAATGCAGAGAAAGCACATTGAGTATTTAACATCTATGAGGGTAGTGATTTCAGTGTAAATCATAAGGTAGGTACTACAGGTAACAACTATAAGGTGTATTACAGTGTAACATCTATAAGGTAGTGTATTACAGTGTAACATCTATAAGGTAGTGTATTACAGTGTAACATCTATAAGGTAGTGTATTACAGTGTAACATCTATAAGGTAGTGTATTACAGTGTAACATCTATAAGGTAGTGTATTACAGTGTAACATCTATAAGGTAGTGTATTACAGGGGTAACATCATAAGGTGGTGTATTACAGTGTAAACATCTATAAGTAGTGATTACAGTGTAACTCTTTTAAGGTAGTGTATTACAGTGTAACATTTTAAGGTAGTGTATATTAAGGGACATCTATTAAAGGGGTGTTATACAAGTTGTAACATCTATAAGGTAGTGTATTACAGTGTAACATCTGTAAGGTAGTGCGTTACAGTGTAACATCTATAAGGTGGTGTATTACAGTGTAACATCCTTGTTTGTTTACTATTCTTGTGGGGACTTCTGGTCCCTACAAGTATAGTTAAACACATGCACATCCACACACACACACACACACACACACACAGTCACATCCCACAGGTTTCCAAATAAAAAGCTAATAAAATTGTATTTGTCACGAGCGCCGAATACAACAGGTGTAGACTTTACCGTGAAATGCTTACTTACGAGCTTATTTCCAACAATGCAGAGTTAAAAAGTATGAAAATTAGCTAATAAAACTAGAAAATAGTAACAATAAATAACAATAACGAGGCTATATACAAGGAGTACTGGTACCGAGCCAATGTGCAGGGTTTCGAGGTAGATGAGGTAATATGTACATGTAGGTAAGGGTAAAAGTGACTAGGCAATCAGGATAGATAATAAACAGAGTAGCAACAGTGTATGTGGAGAGTGTGTGTGTGTGTGTGTGTGTGTGTGTGTGTGTGTGTGTGTGTGTGTGTGTGTGTGTGTGTGTGGTGTGTGTGTGTGTGTGTGTGTGTGTGTGTGTGTGTGTGTGTGTGTGGTGTGTGTGTGTGCGTGCGTGTGTGTGTTGGAGTGTCAGTGTAAACATGTATGTAGAGTCCAGTCAGTGTCCAATAGTCCGGGTCCATTTCATCCTGCTTCCTTCATCTCCTCTCTCCCTCAGTGAGTCCTGCAGTGTGTATACTGTGTTAAAGTAAGAGCTCTGCAAAGATGGAATAGCTTCTTATTACTCACACTACCGCTAACAATATGATTCGCAGTGTGTCTGTGTGTTTATCTGTCTGTCTGTCTGTCTGTCTGTCTGTCTGTCTGTCTGTCTGTCTGTCTGTCTGTCTGTCTGTCTGTCTGTCTGTCTGTCTGTCTGTCTGTCTGTCTGTCTGTCTGTCTGTCTGTCTGTCTGTCTGTCTGTCTGTGTGTGTCTGTGTCTGTGTCTGTGTCTGTGTCTGTGTCTGTTTGTATGTGTCTGTTTGTATGTGTGTGTTTGTGTGAGTGTTTGTGTGAGTGTGTATGTGTGTGTGTCTGTGTGTCTGTGTGTCTGTGTTTCTGTGTGTACGTGTTTTTTTTGTAGCACGGCGCGAGGCAGAGCGAGCAGCGGTGCCATGCAGTGCCTCATGAATAGGAGTAAATTATTTAGCAGGGACACAAATGGAACAGCTCAGTCACACAGAGTCCCTGCAGGGCCCCACATTCACCGCCTTGCCATCACTAACCTCAATCATCTTCTATATGAGTATGGTAATGTCGTAATGAGTGTGTATATGAACCTTTATGAGCAGGAATATGAACTTATATGATAGTGCTGAGTGATTAACTGAAATTAACCGAGGTATCTCTACCTGTAAATACATGATCTAGGTGATTGATAGGCCTAGTTTGTATTCAGAAGTCATAAAAGTATGCCTTATTTTCTGTGAAGAACTACTAAAATATAGATTTTTTTCTGACAGCATAGGCAGCAGCTCTATAGAGATGAGATGATGACTTGGAATGAAATAATAATGTCCTCAAATTAAACAAAGGTAATATACACAACAGCTGAAATCTTTTTTTAATAATCTAACCGAAACCGAACCGACATCAAATAGCACTAATCGCTCAGCACTACTATGTGAGCAGGAATATGGGCTCTGATGAGCCAAACGTGCCAAGTCATTTTCTGAACTGAAAAAAAGCAAGAAATGCAGACCACAACAAAACCACTGTAGCCCACAGCCCTGCAGGCAATACTGAAGTAAAACAAAACTACAGCAGCTGTTGGTGGTGTGTATTTGTGTAAACGAGTGCAAGGAGTGTGTGTGTGTGTGTGTGTGTGTGAGGAAGTGAACGTGGCAGATTTAACAGTCCAGAGGCCAGCAATTAGCTGTTTCCCTTCTTATCCAGTCAGTGTTGCCTTCAGCTCTGGTTCATGTTCAGACCTACCTGCCTGCTTCTTTCTGCCTGCCTCTCTCTTGCTGCCTGTTTCTCTTAGTTTCACACACTGCTGAATAGACACTACAAATGCACACACCGCACCACACACAGTAACACACACACACACACACACACATGCACACGCACACACACACACACACACACACACACACACAGAAATGCAGTGCATCTCAAAATACCCAAACTGAAAAACACACAAATACACACACACACCATATTGTACACACAAAAGCATGCAGCAACCAAGGTGACTAGAAAACACACAAACACACGCTGCACTGTGTGCGAGCTGGTCTGGCTGAACGCTCTCTACATTACTGTCACAGTGATTTAGTGAGCCCAGTACTGTACAGTGGATAGCGCCATTGATTCACATTATTAGGCATTTTATTGACCGCATAAAACTCTGAAATGGGCTGTCACTTTTTTATGGGGGACCTACAAGGCAGGAATGGGCACAAAACCATGCATTGTGAAAATCACAAGGAAATCTGGAGCAACAAGTAGAAGTTAACATGATGTGAAACAAGAATAGGTCAGGGCTTCAGACAATGCAATTTTCACCTGTTGTCCGGCTCGAGGGACCACATATTCACACCCAAGGCTCGCTCTTCTTTACTCTCTCTCTCATTCTCTCTCATTCTCTCTTTCATTCTCTCTCATTCTCTCTCTCTCATTTGCTCTCATTCTCTCTCTTTATCTTTCTCATTCTCTCTCTATCTTTCTCTCATTCTCTCTCTATATCTCTCTCTCATTCTCTCTCTTTATCTCTCTCTCTCATTCTCTCTCTTGATCTTTCTCTCATTCTCTCTATATATCTCTCCTCATTCTCTCTCTTTATCTCTCTCTCTCATTCTCTCTCTTTATCTCTCAATTCATCAACTTTCCCATTCTAAGGTATTCTTGGCATGGGAAACGTATGTTAATGGCCGGCGCACAAATTGGCCCAGCGTCGTCCATGGTTAGGGTGAGGGCATGGCCGGCAGGTATCTGTTAGCTCTTTGATAGCGCATGGCGTTTGCAACGCCCGGTGTTGTGGGTTTGATTCCCACGGGGGGCCAGTATGAAAAAAATATATACATATATATATGTTTTCACTAACTGTAAGTCGCTCTGGATAAGAGCGTCTGCTAAATGACGTAAATGTAAATGTAAATGTTAACATTGCCAAAGCAAGTGAAGTAGATAGTAAACTAAAGTGAAATAAAAATAAATATTAACAGTAAACATTACACTCAGAGGTTTCAAAAGAATAAAGACATTTCAAATGTCATATTATGTATATATACCGTGTTGTAACAATGTGCAAATAGTTAAAGTACAAATGGGAAAATAAATAAACATAAATATGGGTTGTATTTACAATGGTATTTGTTCTTTACTGGTTGCCCTTTTCTTATGGCAACAGGTCACAAATCTTGCAGCTGTGATGGCACACTGTTGATTTTCACCCAGTAGATAAGGGAGTTTATCAAAATTGGGTTTGTTTTCAAATTCTTTGTGGATCTCTGTAATCTGAGGGAAATATGTGTCTCTAATATGGTCATACATTTGGCAGGAGGTTAGGAAATGCAGCTCAGTTTCCACCTCATTTTGTGGGCAGTGTGCATATAGCCTGTCTTCTCTTGAGAGCCAGGTCTGCCTACGGCGGCCTTTCTCAATAGCAAGGCTATGCTCACTGAATCTGTACATAGTCAAAGCTTTCCTTAAGTTTGGGTCAGTCATAGTGATCAGGTATTCTGCCACTGTGTACTCTCTGTTTAGAGCCAAATAGCGTTCTAATTTGTTCCGTTTTTTTGTTAATTCTTTCCAATGTGTCAAGTAATTCTCTTTTTGTTTTCTCATGATTTGGTTGGGTCTAATTGTGTTGTTGTTGTCCTGGGGCTCTGTGGGGTCTGTTTGTGTTCGTGAACAGAGCCCCAGGACCAGCTTACTTAGGGGACTCTTCAAGTTCATCTCTCTGTAGGTGATGGCTTTGTTGTAGAAGGTTTTGGATTCCCTTCCTTTTAAGTGGTTATAGAATTTAACGGCTCTTTTCTGGATTTTGATAATTAGCGGGTATTGGCCTAATTCTGCTCTGCATGCATTATTTTGTGTTTTTCGTTGTACACAGAGGATATTTTTGAGCAGAGTTTCAATTTGGTGTTTGTCCCATTTTGTGAATTCTTGGTTGGTGAGCGGACCCCAGACTTCACAACCATAAAGGGCAATGGGTTCTATAACTGATTCAAGTATTTTTAGCCAGATCCTAATTGGTATGTCAAATTTCATGTTCCTTTTGATGGCATAGAAGGCCCTTCTTGCCTTGTCTCTCAGATCGTTCACAGCTTTGTGGAAGTATGTACAGTTTTTTGTGTGCTCTAGGGCAACGGTGTCTAGATGGAATTTGTAATTGTGGTCCTGGCAACTGGACCTTTTTTGGAACACCATTATTTTTGTCTTACTGAGATTTACTGTCAGGGCCCAGGTCTGACAGAATCTGTGCAGAAGATCTAGGTGCTGCTGTAGGCCCTCCTTGGTTGGGGACAGAAGCACCAGTTCATCAGCAAACAGTAGACATTTGACTTCAGACTGTTCTAGTGCCCTCGCCAATTCGTTGATATATATGTTGAAGAGGGTGGGGCTTAAACTGCATCCCTGTCTCACCCCACGGCCCTGTGGAAAGAAATGTGTGTGTTTTTTGCCAATTTTAACCGCAAACTTGTTGTTTGTGTACATGGATTTTATAATGTTGTATGTTTTTCCCCCAACACCACTTTCCATCAATTTGTATAGCAGACCCTCAAAAGCTTTTAGAAATCAACAAAGCATGAGAAGACTTTGCCTTTGCTTTGGTTTGTTTGTTTGTCAATTAGGGTGTGCAGGGTGAATACGTGGTCTGTCGTACGGTAATTTGGTAAAAAGCCTATTTGACATTTGCTCAGTACGTTGTTTTCACTAAGGAAATTAACTAGTCTGCTGTTAATGATAATGCAGAGGATTTTCCCAAGTTTGCTGTTGACTCATATCCCACGGTAGTTATTGGGGTCAAATTTGTCTCCACTTTTGTGGGTTGGGGTGATCAGTCCTTGGTTCCAAATATTGGGGAAGATGCCAGAGCTAAGGATGATGTTAAAGAGTTTAAGTATAGCCAATTGGAATTTGTGTTCTGTATATTTTATCATTTCATTGAGGATACCATCAACTCCACAGGCCTTTTTGTGTTGGAGGGTTTATATTTTGTTCTGTAGTTAATTCAATGTAATTGGAGAATCCAGTGGGTTCTGGTAGTCTTTAATAGTTGATTCTAAGATTTGCATTTGATCATATATATATTTTTGCTGTTTGTTCTTTGTTATAGGGCCAAAAAGATTGGAGAAGTGGTTTACCCATACATCTCAGTTTTGGATAGATAGCTCTTGGTGTTGTTGTTTGTTTAGTGTGTTCCAATTTTCCCAGAAGTGGTTAGAGTCTATGGATTCTTCAATTACATTGAGCTGATTTCTCACATGCTGTTCCTTCTTTTTCTGTAGTGTATTTCTTTATTGTTTTAGTGATTCACCATACTGAAGGCGTAGGCTCAGGTTTTCTGGGATCTATGTTTTTGGTTGGATAGGTTTCTCAATTTCTTTCTTAGGTTTTTTCATTCTTCATCAGACCATTTGTCACTGTTGTTACTTTTCTTCGGTTTTCTGTTAGAGCTTTTTAGATTTGATAGGGAAGCTGAGAGGTCAAATATACTGTTTAGGTTTTCTACTGCCAAGTTTACACCTTCACTATTACAGTGGAACGTTTTGTCCAGGAAGTTGTCTAAAAGGGATTGAATTTGTTGTTGCCTAATAGTTTTTTGGTAGGTTTCGACACTACTTTCCTTCCATCTATAGTATTTCTTAATATTATTCAGTTACTTTGGCATTGATGCCTCATGATTGAGTATTGCTCTGTTCAAGTAGACTGTGATTTTGCTGTTGTCTGATAGGGGTGTCAGTGGGCTGGCTGTGAATGCTCTGAGAGACTCTGGGGTGAGGTCAGTGATAAAGTAGTCTACTGTACTACTGCCAAGAGATGAGCTATAGGTGTACCTACCATAGGAGTCCCCTCGAAGCCTACCATTGACTATGTACATACCCAGTGTGCGACAGAGCTGCAGGAGTTGTGACCCATTTTCGTTGGTTATGTTGTCGTAGTTGTGCCTAGGGGGGCATATGGGGGAGGGAATGCTGTCACCTCCAGGTAGGTGTTTGTCCCCCTGTGTGCTGAGGGTGTCAGGTTCTTGTCCAGTTCTGGCATTTAGGTCGCCACAGACTAGTACATGTCCCTGGGTCTGGAAATGATTGATTACCCCCTCCAGGATGGAGAAGCTGTCTTCATTAAAGTATGGGGATTCTAGTGAGGGGATATAGGTAGCACACAGGAGGATATTTTTCTCTGTTGAGATAATTTCCTTTTGAATTTCTAGCCAAATGGGGGGGGGGGGGGTCCCACAGGTCTGGGAGAGCGGCAGGTAGCTTAGTGGGTAAGAGCGTTGTGCCAGTAACCGAAAGGTTGCTGGTTCTAATCCCCAAGCCGACTAGGTGAAAAATCTTTCGATGTGCCCTTAAGCAAGGCACTTAACCCTAATTGCTCCTGTAAGTCGCTCTGGATAAGAGCGTCTGCTAAATGACTAAAATGTAAAAATGTAAAGTGTCTTGCTGGTCTGGGCGGGATGTCTGTTGATCTGTTGTCTGTTGCGACCTGTGTGAGGTGTTGGGTCTGCAGTTGAGGGTGATATCCTTTAGGGTCCGGGCGAAGGTGGGCACTGCTGCCTTGTATAGGTGGACCTGGTCGTAAAGGCTGTTCATGTCCAGGGTGGAGTGGTAGGCCAGGTAGACATTTGGTTTTGATGCGCGCTGGGTGTTTGGACACCAGAGTTTAGAAACTATGTGTCTCTCTCTCTCATTCTCTCTCTTTAACTCTCTCTCTCATTCCTCTTTTTATCTCTCTCTTCTCTCTCATTCTCTCTCTCTCATTCTCTCTCATCTCTCTCTCATTCTCTCTATCTCTCTCTCGCATTCTCTCTCATTCTCTCTCTCTCATTCTCTCTATCTCTCGCTCTCATTCTCTCTCTTTATCTCTCTCTCTCATTCTCTCTCTCTCATTCTCTCTCTCTAATTCTCTCTCTTTATCTCTCTCTCATTCTCTCTCTTTATCTCTCTCTCTCATTCTCTCGCATTCTCTCACTCTCATTCTCTCTCTTTATCTCTCTCTCTCATTCTCTCTTTATATCGCTCTCTCATTCTCTTTCATACACACACACTCCCCCATCCCTAACCATTGTGTCTTGTGTCTTTCCTAGGCTGGGACAAAAGAGTGGACTATGAGCCAGGCACAGGCAGCAAACAGCTGTTTCCCAAGATGCATCTGGAGACGTGTGGAGGGCCTCTCTCCTCAGTGAGGAACCACGGTGGAGCTACAGACCAGCCATATTGGGAAGGGCTGCGACCGGGAGACCTACTCTGAGAAGTCCTTGCAGAAACTCTGTGGTACGTACCTCATGGGATACATACACCACATGACGAAAAGTATGTGGACACCTGCTCATCAAAAACCTCATTCCAAAATCATGGACATTAATATGGTGTTGGTCTCCCCTTTTCTGCTATAACAGCCTCCGCTCTTCTGGGAAGGCTTTCCACTTGATGTTGGAACATTGCTGCGGGGACTTGCTTCCATTCAGCCACAAGAGCATTAGTGAGGTCAGGCACTGATGTTGGGCGATTAGGATCACAGTCGGCGTTCCAATTCATCCCAAAGGTGTTCAATGGGGTTGAGGTCAGGGCTCTGTGCAGGCCAGTCAAGTTCAGCCACACCGATCTCGACAAACCATTTCTATATGGACCTCGCTTTGTGCACGGGGGCATTGTCATGCTGAAACAGGAAAGGGCATTCCCCAAACTGTTGCCTCAAAGTTGGAAGCACAGAATCATCTAGAATGTCATTGTATGCTGTAGCGTTAAGATTTCCCTTCACTGGAACTAAGGGGCCTAGCCCGAACCATGAAAAACAGCCCTAGACCATTATTCCTCCTCCACCAAACTTTACAGTTGGTACTATGCATTGGGGCAGGTAGCATTCTCCTGGTGAGGCGTGATTCATCACTCCAGAGAACACGTTTCCACTGCTCCAGAGTCCAATGGTGGCGAGCTTTATACCACACCAGCCGACGCTTGGCATTGCGCATGGTGATCTTAGGCTTGTGTGCGGCTGCTCTGCCATGGAAACCCATTTCATGAAGCTCCCGACGAACATTTCTTGTGCTGACGTAGCTTCCAGAGGCAGTTTGGAACTCGGTAGTGAGGGTTGCAACCGAGGACAAACTACGTGCTTCAGCACTCGGCGGTCTCCGACCTGTGAGCTTGTGTGGCCTACAACTTCGCGGCTGAGCCATTGTTGCTCCTAGACGTTTCCACTTCACAATAACAGCACTTACAGCTCTAGCAGGGCAGAAATTTGACGAACTGACTTGTTGGAAAGGTGGCATCCTATGACGGTGCCACATTGAAAGTCACTGAGCTCTTCAGTAAGGCCATTCTACTGCCAAAGTTTGTCTATGGAGATTGCATGGCTGTGTGCTTGATTTTATATACCTGTCAGCAACAAGTTTGGCTGAAATAGCCAAATCCACTAATTTGAAGGGGTGTCCACATACTTTTATATATATAGTATAGTGTATTTCTCTATAAATGGCCATAGGTTAGTCGATGCATTTCACTTGATTTACAATTAGAGATTTGTTGCATAACTGAACAGAGCCACTCTAAAAATCATCAGACTATAGAGAACTTAATAAGAACACCAGTTAAACTCCTCAGACCAGGTCTTCTTCCTCTTGTCTTGTCTGTTGGTAAAGCTGTGTGTTAAATGAAGGCAGCAGAATGCAGACTTTAAGCTGTGCTGCTGTCAATGATGTGACAGAGCGAGAGTATTAGCTGCTTGAGCTAGCTGTCTCCTCAGTGAAGAGCCGGTCTACACCTCTGTGGTGGTGGGTGTGGTGGTGGGTGGAAGGAGTCATCGTCAGACCCTTATCTGAATGCATAACTCCCTCTTCCCTCCCTCCCTCCTTCCCTCCCTCCCTCCCGCTCTCCCTTCCAGTTCCCTCTGTATGCATGGTTTACCGCTAAAGAGCCTTTTCAAAGCGTCCCATAATCATTATCTGATACCAAATAGAATAAATTGTAATTGCTTTTTTAAAGCACAATCAATTTTAGATAATGTACAAAGACATCTCTAAACAGAATTCTGGGCAGGGCTCCAAGCATCTATTTACTCCCAGAATCTAGTCACTGCAAGTCAAAACCTCTACACAGCCATGAATAGCAGGCGGGGAGAAACAGGGCTTTAAAGACAGGCAGGGAAAAAACATTCATTAATACACTAATGTCCTGTTATTAGCATAAAATAAACAGATGCATGTTTCAATTGTCTGTCTGGATGAAGAGATATAGCAGAGGGATGGGTCATATTGTATCAACGTGGTTTATTTGGAGCCTTGCTGTGTTTTGGAAATACTACCGTCACCATGTAATAGCTGTGTTATAAACCATTTATAAATGTGTTATGCATGTGTAATAAGGCATTACATAAGACCTTCACTATTATAGTGGGAGTGAGGGCACAAAAGTCAATTGAGCTGTATGTTAGTCAGGCAGTTACGGCGAGGAGCAACAAGGAGAAAAGGGAAAAAGAATTCAGATAATAGGAGAGAAGATGAGTGGCTTTGAAAAACAGACACACACCACACATGCGAGATAGATAGGAGAGGGAGGGTATGAGAGGGGGTAGGAAGGCAGAATATCACGAGATAATGCGGTGAAAGGACCAATTGGTTATGCTGGAGTGGGCTTTGAAAACACAGACACACACACACACACAGAGCGAGAGAGAGAGAGAGAGAGAGGAGAGGGGGGAAGGGGAGAATGAGGGAGGGGGAGAAAGGGAAAGAGGATACATTGATTTAATGGGTGTTCTGACGGATCGGTTTTTATTTTCCTGTGAAAGGATCACATAATAGTCTCTCCTTCGCTGTAACAGCCTGTCTGATTGGCTGTGTGGGGAATTATAAGTTATAAACACAGAAAATGACATGAATTCAAGCCATCCCTTCTTTCTTTGCGTTACCATGGTGTTCTGTAGGTTTTTTAGTATCCATGGAGGTAGATAAAGCAGTATATACTGTATGCATGGCATGGCCATTTCTTATGATGACTTTCATCCACTCCTACCTCTGAAAGTCTGTTTCATTTGTCACAAATCAATACTCACATCCACTATCAATCTCTGAACATCGATTTATACATTAAGCCTGGCCGTCTGGCTTATTCATAAGTGATCATAGCCAAGGTCAGTCTGAACCATCTGTATATCTGTGTTGATTTATATTTCTTTGTTGTTGTGCAATTACCCAGGGGCCTCGTCGGGCAGCACAGACCTTCTCCCCGCCCCCAGCTCCTCCACCAATTGGACGGCGTCCCTGGTGACGGACAGTGGGCGGGACAGCGACCTCATCTTCCGGTTTGACGGGGGGCAAGCGGCGAATATTCCGGACCAGGTGGTACCACAGATCCTGACTGATCAGTTCACCATCGCCACGTGGATGAAGCATGGACCCAATCCTGGACTGAGGGCGGAGAAAGAGACCCTGCTCTGCAACTCTGATAAAACAGGTGAGAAGAGGGGAGGCAAGGTAGGAGGGAAGAGAGGGGTGTGGCTGGGAGAGAAGTAGAGTGTGAAGGGCTGTGTGGATAGGGGTGGGAACATTGAATGGGTATGTTCTAATGGTGATAGGTGTGGTCTATCGATAAGGGGCGTGGTCTATTGACAAGAATAGGTTAATCTTCACTTAAGAGAAGGGGTCTTAATTGAAAGGTTGTGGTGATTTTAGGGAAGGTGTGTTACCTTTACGCACTCTTCTCTTTCCTCGTCCCCTCTCCAGAGATGAACAGACACCACTACTCCCTTTACGTCCATAACTGTCGTCTGGTCTTCCTGCTCCGGAGAGACTTCACCCAGGTGGACACCTTCAGACCTGCAGAGTTCCACTGGAAACTGGAGCAGGTAGGCTACACAGTAAAGATATTAATTTGTAATGTACTATACCACTAAAGAGGGACAACTTGTCCTTACGAGTGTGCTGTCTATAAAACATGATGTGATGTTCAGATGGCCTGGACCGACCACTCCCTCTAAGAGCCTCTTGAACACCACCTAAAGTCCTTCATCCCAGAACCTCCCTAAAAGCCTAGATGCAGAGAGCAGTTAAACCATTTTAGACCTAGACATATGAAGACCATCTCTATATTGAAAACATTTCCTTCACCAGTATGTGTGAACACCAGTATTTTAGGCCATCATTGTAAATAAGAATTTGTTCTTAACTGACTTGCTGAGTTAAATAAAGGTTAAATTAAAAAAGTAAAAAAGTAAAAAATAAATGTGTGTGTATGTGTGTGTGTTTCCTCTGGGGTTGAACGGGAGCTGGCGGTGAGGATATGTTTGTCTGGAGCTACACTGACTCTTGGCCAAGTCTAGCGGGCTGACGTGTGTGTGTGTTTGTGTGTGTGTGTGTGTGTCCATGTACAGTGTGTGGGTGGGTGACAGCAGCAGCTCCCTCTCGCCTGAGGAGGTGAGTCTGTCTTAAGGTCGGCCAGGTCATCCTAACTGTCAGTCTCCAGACCCTGAATGCAGCTCTTTGATTGGACAAAAGAGACGTTCAGCTGAGGCCGGGGCGGTGAGAGGCAGAGTGCAGGGGCTGCTGGGTAATTTGAGGACAGATTACTGGCTATGATTGGAGGAGGGACAGGGGGTCAGAGCGTGACCTTGTGACCGGGGTTGACCTCTTGTGAGTCACCGTCTGGAGAAGTTCTGTAACATTCCGGAACAGAACACAGTTAGACAAGACATGGCAGCCTGTCTCTCCACATCTCTCTCAACTGGAGTCATCTAGTTAGTCTTCCTGTGTCTATTTCTTGCTACTTTGTGCCCAGTTCTGTCTACATTAGCCAGCTTTGTTTGAACTGGGGCCAGGGTTGGGCACAGGGTACTCTCTGTTTAGGACCAAATAGCATTCTAGTTTGCTCAGTTTTTTTGTAAATTATTTCCAATGTATCAAGTAATTATCTTTTAGTTTTCTCATGATTTGGTTGGGTCTAATTGTGTTTTTGTCCTGGGGCTCTGTGGGGTCTATTTGTGTTTGTGAACAGAGCCCCAGGACCAGCTTGCTTAGGGGGCTCTTGTAAAAGTATTCATCCCCCTTGGCGTTTTTCCTATTTTGTTGCATTACAACCTGTAATTTAAATGGATTTTTATTTGGATTTCATGTAATGGACATACACAAAATAGTCCAAATTGGAGAAGTGAAATGAAAAAAATAATTTGTTTCAAAAAATTCAAAAAAATATTTTACTGAAAAGTGGTGCGTGCATATGTATTACATTTACATTTACATTTACGTCATTTAGCAGACGCTCTTATCCAGAGCGACTTACAAATTGGTGCATTCACCCTATAGCCAGTGGGATAACCACTTCACAATTATTATTATTATTTTTTTATTATTTATTTTAGGGGGGTAGAAGGACCACTTTGTCCTATCCCAGGTACTCCTTAAAGAGGTGGGGTTTCAAATGTCTCCGGAAGGTGGTGAGTGACTCCGCTGTCCTGGCGTCGTGAGGGAGCTTGTTCCACCATTGGGGTGCCAGAGCAGCGAACAGTTTTGACTGGGCTGAGCGGGAACTATGCTTCCGCAGAGGAAGGGGAGCCAGCAGGCCAGAGGTGGATGAACGCAGTGCCCTCGTTTGGGTGTAGGGACTGATCAGAGCCTGAAGGTACGGAGGTGCCGTTCTCCTCACAGCTCCATAGGCAAGCACCATGGTCTTGTAACAGATGCGAGCTTCAACTGGAAGCCAGTGGAGTGTGCGGAGGAGCGGGGTGACGTGAGAGAACTTGGGAAGGTTGAACACCAGACGGGCTGCGGCATTCTGGATGAGTTGTAGGGGTTTAATGGCACAGGCAGGGAGCCCAGCCAACAGCGAGTTGCAGTAATCCAGACGGGAGATGACAAGTGCCTGGATTAGGACCTGTGCCGCTTCCTGTGTAAGGCAGGGTCGTACTCTCCGAATGTTGTAGAGCATGAACCTGCAGGATCAGGTCACCGCCTTGATGTTAGCGGAGAACGACAGGGTGTTGTCCAGGGTCACGCCAAGGCTCTTCGCACTCTGGGAGGAGGACACAACGGAGTTGTCAACCGTGATGGCGAGATCATGGAACGGGCAGTCCTTCCCCGGGAGGAAGAGCAGCTCCGTCTTGCCAAGGTTTAGCTTGAGGTGGTGATCCGTCATCCATACTGATATGTCTGCCAGACATGCAGAGATGCGATTCTCCACCTGGTTATCAGAAGGGGGAAAGGAGAAGATTAGTTGTGTATCGTCAGCGTAGCAATGATAGGAGAGGCCATGTGAGGATATGACAGAGCCAAGTGACTTGGTGTATAGCGAGAATAGGAGAGGGCCTAGAACTGAGCCCTGGGGGACACCAGTGGTGAGAGCACGTGGTGCGGAGACAGCTTCTCGCCACGCCACTTGGTAGGAGCGACCGGTCAGGTAGGACGCAATCCAAGAGTGAGCCGCGCCGGAGATGCCCAGCTCGGAGAGGGTGGAGAGGAGGATCTGATGGTTCACAGTATCAAAGGCAGCAGACAGGTCTAGAAGGACAAGAGCAGAGGAGAGAGAGTTAGCTTTAGCAGTGCGGAGAGCCTCCGTGACACAGAGAAGAGCAGTCTCAGTTGAATGACCAGTCCTGAAACCTGACTGGTTTGGATCAAGAAGGTCATTCTGAGAGAGATAGCAAGAGAGTTGGCTAAAGACGGCACGCTCAATAGTTTTGGAAAGAAAAGAAAGAAGGGATACTGGTCTGTAGTTGTTGACATCAGAGGGATCGAGTGTTGGTTTTTTGAGAAGGGGTGCAACTCTCGCTCTCTTGAAGACGGAAGGGACATAGCCAGCGGTCAAGGATGAGTTGATCAGCGAGGTGAGGTAGGGGAGAAGGTCACCGGAGATGGTCTGGAGAAGAGAGGAGGGGATGGGGTCAAGCGGGCAGGTTGTTGGGCGGCCTGCAGTCACAAGTCGCGAGATTTTATCTGGAGAGAGAGGGGAGAAAGAAGTCAAAGCATAGGGTAGGGCAGTGTGAGCAGGACCAGCAGTGTCATTAGACTTAACAAACGAGGATCGGATGTCGTCAACCTTCTTTTCAAAGTGGTTGACGAAGTCATCCACAGAGAGGGAGGGGGGGGGGGGGGGGGGGGGGAGGATTCAGCAGGGAGGAGAATGTGGCAAAGAGCTTCCTAGGGTTAGAGGCAGATGCTTGGAATTTAGAGTGGTAGAAAGTGGCCTTAGCAGCAGAAACAGATGAAGAAAATGTAGAGAGGAGGGAGTGAAAAGATGCCAGGTCGGCAGGGAGTCTAGTTTTTTTCCATTTCCGCTCAGCTGCCCGGAGCTCTGTTCTGTGAGCTCGCAATGAGTCATCAAGCCACGGAGCTGGAGGGGAGGACCGAGCCGGCTGGGAGGATAGGGGACACAGAGAGTCAAAGGATGCAGAAAGGGAGGAGAGGAGGGTTGAGGAGGCATAATCAGGAGATTGGAGGGAGAAGGATTGAGCAGAGGGAAGAGATGATAGGATGGAAGAGGAGAGAGTAGTGGGAGAGAGAGAGCGAAGGTTGCGGCGGCGCATTACCATCTGTGTAGGGGCAGAGTGAGTAGTGTTGGAGGAGAGCGAGAGAGAAAAGGATACAAAGTAGTGGTCGGAGACATGGAGGGGAGTTGCAGTGAGATTAGTAGAAGAGCAGCATCTAGTAAAGATGAGGTCAAGCGTATTGCCTGCCTTGTGAGTAGGGGGGGGACGGTGAGAGGGTGAGGTCAAAAGAGGAGAGGAATGGAAGGAAGGAGGCAGAGAGAAATGAGTCAAATGTAGACGTAGGGAGGTTGAAATCCCCCAAAACTGTGAGGGGTGAGCCATCCTCAGGAAAGGAGCTTATCAAGGCGTCAAGCTCATTGATGAACTCTCCAAGGGAACCTGGAGGGCGATAGATGACAAGGATATTAAGCTTAAATGGGCTAGTGACTGTGACAGCATGGAATTCAAATGAGGAGATAGACAGATGGGTTAGGGGAAAAATTGAGAATGTCCACTTGGGAGAGATGAGGATTCCTGTGCCACCACCCCTCTGACCAGATGCTCTCGGGGTATGCGAGAACACATGGTCAGACGAGGAGAGAGCAGTAGGAGTAGCAGTGTTTTCAGTGGTAATCCATGTTTCCGTCAGCGCCAGGAAGTCGAGGGACTGGAGGGTAGCATAGGCTGGGATGAAGTCAGCCTTGTTGGCAGCAGAACGGCAGTTCCAGAGGCTGCCTGAGACCTGGAACTCCAGGTGTGTGGTGCGTGCAGGGACCACCAGGTTAGAGAGGCAGCAGCCACGCGGTGTGAGGCGTTTGTGTAGCCTGTGCGGAGAGGAGAGAACAGGGATAGGCAGAGGCATAGTTGACAGGCTGTAGCAAATGGCTACAATAATGCAGAGGAGATCGGAATGAAATGAACTAAACATCAGGGAAAGGAGAGAGCGGGGCCTCCCTCACCACAACTCCCAAATATAACTCTCCCAACTTCCACCTCAGAGACTATAATTGTTTCACTGAAACACCCGAATAAAACTCTCCCAACTTCCACTTTAGAAATTAGAATTGTTGTAAACTACAGCGGTTCAATGTTTCAAGGAATAGACTCAACTTACTTTATTCAGCTAGCTAACTATGACGCCATAGCTAACTAGCATGCTAGCATCCAATAACACACGGTTTAGCACCAATACTTGGTTACAACAAGCTACCAATAGTGTGTTAACACACTAAACAGATAATTCGTGTCTGTGTCTAGTTCCTTTCATAACGCAGCAATAATTAAACGTTGGCTAGCTAGCACAAAGATATTGTATTTAGCTGGTAGTGTTGGCTAGCTAGCTAGCAATGGCTGCTGTGTTGACTTTGTTTGAAAAACGGCGTCGCTGCGAACGAATGTAGCTGGCTAAAATTATATTGTATTTAGTTGCTATAGTA